ATTTCTTTCCTTCTGCTGACCTCAGGTTTTATTTGTTCTTTTTCTAATTGTTTTAGGTGGTAGGTTAGGTGGTTCATTTGAGATTGTTCTTGTTTTTCTGAGGAAGGCCTGTATCATTATGAACTTCCCTCTTAGGACTGCTTTTGCTACATCCCATGGATTTTGTATGGTTGTATTTTCATTGTCGTTTGTCTCAAAGTATTTTTTAACCTTTTCTTTGATTTTATCATTAATCCATTGGCTTTTTAGTAACATGTTATTTAGTCTCCATGCTGTCATTTTTTTCTTATTTGTTTTTCTGTGATTGATTTCTAGTTTCTTGCCATTGTGATCAGAGAAGATGCTTGAAATAATTCCTATTCTCTTAAATTTATTGAGGATTTTTTTGTGCACGAGTATGTTGTCTATCCTGGAGAATGTTCCATGAGCGCTTGAAAAGAATGTATATTCTGTTTTGGGGGGATGTAATGTACTAAAAGTATCAATGAAGTCCAACTGTTCTATTGTGTCATTCATTTAGTATCTTCGTTGCCTTACTGGAAAACTACTGTCAGTTTTTTAATACCATTAATTCAAAATAGAAAATGAGTCATGTGTTGAGATAGACAGAATAATGGCCCCCAGAGGTGATCATACCTTAATCCCCAGAATCTGTGAATGTTAGCATACAGGGAAAAAGGCAATTTGCTTATATGATTAAGTTAAGTACATCGAGGTTGGAAGAGGTACTGGGGTTTTCCACATATGCCCAATGTAATCACAAGGGTACTTTAAAGTGGGAGACAGTGAAGAGGAGATTTAGAGGGAAATGTGATTGCCAAAGAGTGGTCAGAGAAGTGGAACATTGTTGAGTTTGAAGATGGAGAAAGAGGACCATGACCCAAGGAATGTGGGTGACTTTTGTAAGCTGAGAAAAACAAAGAAATGGATTCTCCACCAGAGCCTCCAAAAAGGAATGCAGCTCTGCCTATAGTTAAATTTTATCCTGGTGAGACCATGTGGGACTTCTAACCTGTGGAACTGTAAGACAAGAAAGAACCTTGTGTCATTTTAGATTGCTATTTTTTTCTTTATAATTTTTACACCAGCCATAGAATATTAATAAGGTTGTCTTATAGAGCATTACCATCCTGGTTTTTTTTTGTTTGGTTGTTTGTAGTGTGAGTTAACTTTTCCTATCCTTTACTTTAACAAAATTCATCTGTAGAGCCTTGAATACATTTAGATTAGACATTAATCTTTCTGGTAAAATACTTTAATGGTGGTGCTTTAAATTTCATATTGTATGTAGTCACCCAACATGCAGTGTCTGCTTGTCATATACTTAGAGAAGCTAGATTGATCAGTGAGTTCAGGTGGTGGTTTGTAATCCCAACTAACATTTTTATCTACCAGTATAAGTGACT